ATGCGTAGCCTTGTTGTACAGGAAGCATGATGAGGTAACTGCATGGTGTGGTGGAGTTGGTATGGACGGAAGTAGCTCCCCTGTGGGAAGATACCGGTAGTAAGAATTGTCTTACAGTACACAGAGGCATACTTGGCTCACATTTCAATAAAGATCTGTTGAACATTTGCATATAAGAATAAAAGTTAACAGATAATGTGAGATAAGATACCACCCTTTTGTTAATGCTTTTCACATTTACAATGATCATTGCGTGCATCAAAATCTATTTTGCACATACTATCTCTCTCTCTATATATAATATACTAATAGAAAGTTTTTGATTAGACATATTTCTGCAAAGGAACAAAAATTATACACTCAGAGGAATTACATGATCCATGTATATATCTATGTAATATAGGCATGAACTGCAGATAGAGAAAAATAAATAGTGTAACGGTTACTGGGATAGTACATTTAGTTTACAAACCTCCCACTTATCCGGCATATGGAAGGAGTTCAGTTTTTCATGTTGCTTCCGCAGGCACTCGATGCAGAACATGGCTGCAGGTCCACACTCCCTACACCGGAATATCAGGCACTCCTCTTCCATTCGACAGATGGTGCAAGTGTAGGAGATGGGCACTGCCATCTCAACACTTGTGTTGAACAGGTCGTCTCTGACATTGTTCCAGGATTCCTGCGTAGCTATCTTCTGTTTTGAATATGTAGTGCGAGTTTGTGGCGGGGCTAGCTCCGGTTCATCTTGTGGTGGGAATAAGGTGTCAACAGCAGCTGCTGCTGTGCTGGGACAAGGATGTTGGGGCAATGTATGTGTACTGTCAAATGGTATGGGGACACGTATCACGGATCTCTTTGGAGCTGGACTGTCGTCAAAGATCACAGTCCTTGCCGTCACTTTCTGCCTTTCACACCGAAAGTGCTTGCTTTGCCTCTGGCTTTTCCCATGTTTCATTCTGAAATAAGGCAAAAATAGCAACAATTATTTTCTTACTCAGTTCCAGACTATAGAAAGTATGCCTCAATAGATTTGCAAATGTGCCCTCTTCTGCACAATTCATGTATAATCCATCTTCCTGGTACTATATAGTAGATGCTGATTTAGAAAAAATGAAACGCATATAGCTTAGGTTGTACTTTACAATTGTTCTCATTAGAATTATTAACTCAAGCAAGGACAGGTTTCTTCTGTATAATGAGCAAGAACATTATTCCCTAACAAACACCATCACTTGTCAACATTGTTGCAAGTTGTTTTGACTTTTTCTATTAAACATTTATAAAATAAGCCACCCACCACCCCCACACACCTTTTGTCGCACACGCACCACCCACCACCCGAATTATATAAAGACGGTCCCGGCCGCTCCTGGAGCACCGTGATGCGCCTATTAAAGTGCCATTGACAGGAGGATAGAATATTTTTATACTGTTTAATCAGATGTATTAGTTTTCTTCTGTAGCCAAATGCTAATTTATTTTACCGAGAATATATAACGTTAAATTTACGACCATACTATAGCTGGTTTCCTATAGCTAGGTGAGCTGCCCGGCTGAAAGATGGCCGTCTCTTCTCGCATAATTACGCAAGTCTCTCCCAAAACCGCAGAATGGGTCCGACCATGCAGGAAATCTGACCCTAGGACCTTATATATTCAAGAACAGAGGCACTCAAATCAAAGTGATCGAGAAAGTTTGTAGAAACTTTTAGGTCGTCCTCACCACCCCCCTCCCCCATGCCTCGATATTTCCTGGAAACTTTTGGTAAAATTCCAGGCGAACCTTAACCTCAACTTTCGCATAAAGCATTCAAAAATGGGTAGCATACAATCACACTGAAATACCAAATAGAAATGTACCATTAAGAGTAACTATAAACCATCAAACTTCAAGTCAAACACACGTACCTGTGGTGGTGATTTGAGACCGAAGCCGAGCGCGGCGTTGGTTTTGGGTTTCCCAGCATACCCTGGGGCGGTGACCCCGCCTGATCAGCCAGCGTATGTCACCATCCATGAGAATCGCTGTGCTATCGTGGAAGGCGTCGGCTGTAGGACCGGCCGACTACGCCCTTCCGATATGTATCGATGGAAGGTGGTCCCCTTTTCACGATAGTTATCGTGGAAGGCGATCGAAGGGGGTGCTCGTGTACGTATTCTAGTCCAATGTTTTCAGCTACGTGGCTACCGGCTGAGTTTGGGAGGCCTTACATCGTGGGAAGTAAGATGAAACCTTTCTTAAAACCTATTTTGTTCCTGCTGATTATTTTCATGTTCATTTGTTTGCGTTTGTTCTCGAAACTAACATGAACAGTGGTAATTTCCCAGGTTCCCCTTGAACGTTACACGGAGTCGGAATATTAAGTAAACATGTATCGACTGACCAGTCACATACAATTTTTACAAACAGCGCAGTTTATTTACAAAACCTACCATGCTACTTGCACACAAGTACCAGGTATAATTGAGGGGCAAAACTGACGAATTTCTGGGTGGAAGAATTACGGCAGTTACCGTCATGCTGGAGTCCGTATGACTTCAAGGCCTTAGGGACAGCAAGTAATTCTTATGGAAGACATCAGCGCGCGCATTGATTTTCGCCTGATTTTTACAAGAAAAAAAAAACAAGAATTTCATGTTGCCCTCTAACAGGCCGAAGATGGGAAAAATGGCATGTCTTACAATGTCGGAACGTGTATGGAAGATACATATGAAGAGGGGAAACAAGACAAGTCTCTGATTCATTGTTTTGTCTTTTATTTTGATGCAGTGATGTATTTCATTCCTTTAATATGTACCCACTGTATCAAAACCATTTGTACAATGATTGAAAACGTTTGTTTTTCAAATTTGTTTCAGTGACAAATGGATGTTGTAATAGTTGGCAGTAACATTAGCACAGTATAGGTATAATTTCTTGTCAGAATTCGAAAATGTAGGAATCGTTTTTTGCCCGCCTTGTTTTGTTTTCGCCCTATCGCATTGGATTTCGAATCTGCGGAGCATGTCATTCATAAAATTGAGTTGCTGTGACCTAATTTTTACACAACACAGAGGAAAATACTCATATTCACCTGAGTTAAGTGAGGAAAGTCGTGTAAAGTGCCTTTCCCAAGGACGTCAGTGACGTGGCAGGATTCGAACCTGGGACCTCTTGGTTCCGAAGCGAACACTCTGCCGTTACACCACGACCCATAAGAATGGGGTCTTAGCTCAATTCCTTGTTTTGTCCAGCCATACACCCCCTACAGCAATTTTACTACATATGCATGTGAACAAAAGAAAACAGTAAACAATGCCAGACTCCTTGTTATTCCATTGATTTCATTTTATTCACCCACTTCCAACATGTACAATGTACAACTATTTACATCAAGTATACAGCTGCTCTTTAACAGAAGAGTTGTGGCACTACAAAACATTTCACGAACAGAGTACGTCAGCATAACGTACAATGTACTGCGCCTACACGGATAATGTATTGTGCATAGCATTTCAGTCTTAAAGGCTGTACTCACGTGTTTAAGGGTGACATCCTGTCTGTAGTTTTCAAACATAGTTTTGGAAAAGACATTGTCTGCAATGGGCAAAACTCAGATTTAACCTTGACCAAACATCCTTTGAAAAATCTGGGTTTTGCCCAGGCACAGTACATTCTGCCGATGTAATTATTAGGATTTTAAGACTGAAGTACAAGCTCTAGTATGATGGGTTCAAGGTCAGCGTGCAATGTTGAAATAAACAATAAATCTACTGTTGCTCAAAAATATCTAAGCCTGTATAGTATTGTTATATTATAATAGTGATGAAACTATTTAAATGTGAAGCCAAAGACTCAAGTGACTTGAATTTCACCTCCAAATCATCATCACAAGTGAAAGACAACTCCCAAAATATTTCAACAGACGAAACATAAATAAAAAACATCTTATTGCTTTCAAAGAAAACTGTAGAGTCCATTCCGCGTCAAAAATTTGAAAATGAAAATTTGAATATATTTGAATTCATTTATATATTTCTGAAACATTTTGAAAGTGACTGTACAAAGATCTCTTTATTTAGAATAAATTTGAACTACCCATGTGTTTTTTTCACAATTCGAAATATTTAGAAATATTTCAAACAAATAACCAAATGGTAGATGTGGGTAATTGCCCCCATAAAAGTAGGTGCTAATCCGACTCTTCTGTCTTCCTCTGTATATTTTTAGATTTCACTGCTGGACACTGGTGGCTCTTTTGTTGTAAGGCATCAATGCCTGACACCCAGGCAGTCTACCCTGTACTTCACAGGGATGTGTGAATTACTTACTTCCCATCCCACTGACCTATTTACAAAATGTTAGAAATAATTCGAAATAATGGTAAAAAATGGTAGAGTGCTGTTAAAAATATTTAGAAACTATTGGAAATGCCATAATCCACATCAGGAATATTTCAAACGTTTTAGAAAACCAGGGAATTATTTAGAATATTGACAAGATGTTCAAAATATTTCCAAATTATGAAATTTCTTAGACAAACAATTACAAAGAATTCAAAACATTTCTAAATAATGACAATAACAACCCACTCGGTGACGCGGAATTGACTCTAAGACAAATTTCACATTTAAAATAATGAAAGTCTTTTTGGTTACCACCAATACATGACATTGTATGACCCTGTTAAACTTTCACATCATCCCTTGTTTGGATATTTATATATTGGACAAATAAACACTAATATGCTTTACCTGTATTTACTACAAAGTATGTACTTGTACATTACTACTTCAATAACCGAAAACTCAATATAGTGCTCCCTGAGCTATGTTTATACATGTATACTGTAAATTGCTTTATATTCATGGTTTTCGCGGTCATTTCTGTACTACAAATTATTCGCCTACTTTCTCTCTTCCGCACCTGCCACCATTTTTTCATTTGTCCATTTTTCTCAGGCCGCAAAATTTTGCTACCACGAATATGAGATGATTTACAGTATACGGTGCAAGTGGTGGGTATACACTTTTATGTCCTACCTGGGCCGCGATTACGTTCGATACGGGTGTTCCGGCCCGTGTGATAACTAGCGGTACGGCCCGGGGGTTCTTATACGCGTACGGCCCGGCCCTTCCAAATGTTCCATAGAACGATTCGAACGCGTTTCGCCCTAACCGCTTGCACCGCTTTCGAAAATTCGAACACAAAATTCCGTCGTTGGAATTGATGTTGTTGCATTGTTTGGGCTTAGGGACACCAAATTTTCGCTAATTTCGCATTGAAAGGCGTGTTTTCTTAGGCGGGTATGACATAAATAAAATACAACACGGTGTATTCCGCATCACCCTCGGTCCCAGCCCTCCCGCGGATCGGATCTCCCTCCGGCCTTCGGCCGTCGGGCGATCCGACCCGCGGTCGGGCTGGTACCTCGGGCGATACGGAATACACCGTGTTGTATTCTATATATATCTTCTAAAGTACAATGTAAGCCACAACAGCTCCTATTTCAGTCTCAAGAGCTGGGCATATACAGAAATGAAATCTCATGAAAGAATTAATATCTTTGATGAAATGTTGTTGATGACATCTTTTTCTTTGATGAATGAAATTTGACTCAACCTGTTGGAAAGTTTTCTATTGCCCTGTCCTTTCATATTTTTTCAGAATAAAATCTAAAAACCAACAAATTAGATTTCTGTGGCCTAAAGGTACACTAAAGAATAGCAAGTTGAAACATACTCTAACAGTATCCCATGTTAATGATGTGTGGTGATTTGGCAACTATGTGTAAGACTGACTGGCCAATTCAAACAAATACAAATTTTTACATTCAGTTATATTCTGAACATTATATTTAGTTGTTCTGAATGCATACTAATTACAATGTACTATTTTCATTAATTTCATCTTATGTACATGTACACATATAGCAGTCATATCGTTTACAATTTGGCTCATTATACATTATTGTACATGGACCGCTTTCAGCACTACAGTGTAAGTCTTAATGTAGGTAGTTTTCCCAAAAATAGTAAGAACACAATCAAATCTTTCCAGAATATGAATGAATATGTCATGACCTAATCAGTTATTTTTAAGTGTTCACTTTCTTTACCATTACAAAAGGCATGGTAACAATACTGAGTAGACTTCAAGTCTCTATCAGTAGAAAACCCCAGTGTCTGATCTGTGTACCTAAACCCACATTTAACTTCAGGTCCGGATTCAAGTCCAGAGGTTTAGGGGTTCAGTTCCGGACTCGTAAGTCCTGACCTAAATCCATGGCACATACAAAATTGCATGTTGGCACCCTTGACATGTTTTTAATAAGTCTGTAATCGATTCTTGACTTCTAGTTTTTTTTTTAATGTAAACCTCAACATTTTACAAGTCCGGAACTGGTCCAGCAAACTGGTACACAGCACTAGTCTGTGGTCATACCCAACAAAAGTCAAACTTATTACTTTGTTACACAGCTACTTGTGTATGATTTTAATGTGGATATTAAGTACCAGAAAACTACAAAAATATTTACACCTCAGAGAGACTCAAACGAAGTCATGAAGTTTTCAAAAGTCATTAAAAATGAGATGAATAGAATAGAGTTTATGGATGAGAAATATGAATGAATGTTCTGACTAGCAACTCATAGACATTGTAAATAAGGTTCTTTTTTAAATATTACAGAATAAATTGCACTGGCATATTATATAGTAAGAAAAGTTAAAGGCATCCAATGCCATTTCAGAGCAGCAAAACTGGAAATATTCTGAATCTTTATGATTTTACTAATTTTTAGCACATTTCAATCAGCATTTGATACTTTGGGTATTTGAAAGTGCAGAAACAAGCACCAAGATGAGCCCTTCATTTTATTGGTGGTACCCTAGAAATGAGCAAAGGGCCCTTCCAGTAACCATTTTCTGTTGGAATTTTGGGAATTTTTGCTCCATAAGGGTCAATATACATTCATTTGGGATAGTGTGGTTTTAACTCAGTATGTAGATAAGTGACTAGAATATTGACTTAAGTTTTCCTCAATGTGCAATCTCCTGGCAAGAAGTCTTTCTCACTTTTTTCTCACACTGTCCAACGACACAGCTGCTTGCTTAGGCGTCATGGCTGTTGTCTGGTGGCTTGGGATTGGCCAGGCCGTCCTGGGTGCTGGTGACCTTGCCCCCCTGGTTGACCCTGACCACGCCCTCGTTCCAGCCTGTTTCTGTTACACTGTGAGAGAGAACAACAAACATGATTGTTTGGTACACTACTAGGGTTCCAAATAGTGGGTGCATATGCACCTTAGTGCAGGTAAATTTGGGGCTGTGCAAGAGCCCATACTCAGCACTAGGTTAAGATAAACTGTCTATTTTTGAAGGCAGGCTGAATAAACGGGAACTATGCGGCTCCAGATGTCTTACTGAGGGACTGTTGTGTGTGAGGTGTTGGTTAGCTTGAGAAATGAATCCCCTCTACATACATACTGTGTATTTTTGAAGGGTTAGGCCACACCTATTTGATTTTAAGGATGACATCTGGGCATACATTGATTTTCCCTGTTCTCAAAAAAAAAACCTCCAGCACTCAGGATACCGACGCTCCATGGAACTCAACCGACTTGTCGTAACAGTCGCTATGCATTACCGCAAATTCACAACACCAGCTTTGCATCTCTGTTGTTAATCAACCTTTATTTTGGCTCGAATTTATCTTATTCCCCCATGCGCACTATAGTTTGGGGAAAGGATGTCATCCATTAAATCAAGTCAGTGTGGCCTTAGGGGTTAGAGATGGGGGCAGATCATTATCTATAACAGGACAAGATAAGAAGATGTTACTCACACTTCTTCCATCTCGATGTCCTCGTCTTCCTGTGAGACTTGTAGGTAGGGGTTGTGGAGACAGGGCGGAACTTGTAGCCCGTCATGACAAAGAACACGTACGTGGCCAGCTCCGCAAAGAACTGACCCAGCCACTCATACTGGAACGGCACTGTGATCTGGGGTGGGGTGGGGAGTGGGGCAACATGTGTCAAAAAATATGTATACTGTACTATAATGTGGCAGAACACAGTTTCCATCCTATGAGGATTTCTTTGGCTAAGTGAAAAGGTTTCATGATTGTATAATTTATAATAGGGTACACGAGCAAGTTACAGAGAGATTTCATCAGCAGACATTTCAGTGACCGTCTGTTACCTTCCTCAGGGCAGATCTGACTGGTTCACATTGCACAGCACAGGCACTGCGTTCCAAACCGCAAAGTATTTATATGTAATGTACAATGTATGCAGTTACAGGGAACAGTACATGTATTGACAATGCATATTGAAATGTATTGACAAATTTTTGAGCGCAGCACGTTTGCTTGTATTTCACCTGATTTACTGAAGAAAAATTCGGAAAATGTGTTACATGTAAATTATCTTTGTAAATCCATACGTCAGGTGGAAAATTTTATGGCCTAACCAGTGGTCAAAAAAAGGCTAGAGCGTTGGTGGGTTTTTGTTAGGGTTGGATGGGAAACAAGAAACACACTTTTTTTCTCCTTTTTTTAAATATCATAATCAGATATATATATATATATAATGTAAAACTCACCTTCAACAGGTAGACTATTATTCTTGTGAAGTATATGTAGCAAACAATCTGTGGAAGGAAAAATATGGTTATTATAGGGACTGTACAAACAAACAAACACTATGAAAACAACAAACTGACACTGTTTCTTTGATGATCAATGGAAGAAACATATTACTGCCAAGCATGGTCTCCTGAAGACTAGCAACTACATGTACCCACATCCCTTCTAGAGGCTGCAACCTTTCCAGTAGCATGCATGTCTAGGTATGTGTACTGGTAGATTTACATGTTAATTAGTCAAATTGTTTAGGTACAGGTTCAGGTCCAGACCTGTACCTAATCCTTTGTACCTGTACCTGATGCGACGTTTATGTACACATCCCTATGCATGTCGGGTGTGCAACAACTGCAGGGACTCGAACTACATGTACCTCTTGGTCCAGAGGCAGCATCGCTCATTAAACCACTGGACTACTTATGCTACAGGGAGAAGGTTCTGAATGTGTGACAGGAGCTTTATTCACCATGGCATAGAAATCCCTATCTTATGTTATCAAATTGAAATATTAATAAATAATGATTTCTCATACAACCCGCTCACCCACTGGAACTCAACATTGAATACCGTAAAAGCGAGGACTTCTTCCTTTAGTTTTTATACTTGCATATTACATACCAATGATCATTGGGCGACTTGGAGATATCAGGTGCAGAGAAAAGAAAGTCGGAGAATTATTTGTTAACGGTAATGATAAGTTTGCGGTATAGAAGTGACGAACAGATATAACGAACATATTTACCGTGACAAAAATCAGGAATTACAGTAATCAATATCGAGAAATTCTCGTCACACCTGTGTTACTCGCCTGAAAACACGCTCTCATTATTCCAGAGCAAGGCCGACTATTGTCATCAGTACGCAATGACATGAATATTTAAAAACACATCACCTAAGTTCTGTCAGTGTCCTATGTTGTTCCTCGTCACCATAGTGATAGACCGAAAAACATGACCCGAACGAGGACGAAATTTCAAACATTACTTACCTTACTTTCTTCCCGTCGCTCGGTTCTATCTCCCGCCGTTAGACCACCATCTGTATCCGTCAAATTTTAATACTTTGATAGTTTAGACCTTGTTCGTCTTTGCTCTCGTCATAGTCAACTCTGCCCAGAGCCGTACATTGTTCGCTTGTATTTTCCACATTCGTACGGGGGAGGGGGTGCGTGAGAGGGCCCATCAACAAAAATGTCGATGACCGTCCCCCCGGCTTAAAACAAACTCCCTGACCGTCCCCACGGCTTTAAAAAATTCCCTGACCATCACCCCGGCTTAAAAAAATTCCCTGACCGTCCCCACGGCTTAACAAAATTCCCTGACCGTCCCCACGGCTTAACAAAATTCCCTGACCGTCCCCACGGCTTTAAAAAATTCCTGACCGTCCCCCCCGGCTTAAAAAAAACTTTCCCTGACCCTCAGTGGAAAAGAAAGCACAGCTCTAGCTGCTCGTAGAAAGAAATGCTGCCTCGCTAGCCCCCGCGTGGGATTAGTATTGAGAGTATCCAGAGAAGAGTCTGTCGTACACAGACGCATGCTCGACCTTTTCTACCACTTTGGAAAACGACTGATTTAGAAACAGACATTTAGGAAGTGGTTTTCACCTTCCCGCAGCCTATGCGGTTGTTACCTTTTCATTTTACTGTAAACAATAGGAACAACTATGAAAATTCAATGGAGACCACCGCACCTGCTGTATTTATTCAGATCCAGTCTCGCAAACACTAGTACGGAGTAATTTTTTAGAAGAAATGGCTGTACTTAAGCAAGATTAATAGGACAGGTGTAACTACAGGTAACGTCAAGTTTTCCACTCACCGCTGTAGTAGTTCCCCGTAGTAGGTCTCTCGTGCTTGTTGGTGGCTCGGAGACGATCTGCCGCAAGGCTGACCACCAGAATGAGCTGCCTCATATAACAGAGGCACCGGATGCTACTCAATGGTGGGTGGCGCTTAGAGGCCACGCTTTGCAAGAAAAATATCGCGCAAACAATATGGTTGTTTACGTGAAGTTACGATCAATGCGTTAGCTAGGGGCCCAATTATGTACATGTTCGTCGTACAAACTGAATGCATCCTTCGGGTAGTCGTTCTTCTTTTTTTTCTTACAAAATTCAACCACCTTGTTACAAAAAAAAATTTCTTAAGTTCTTGTGTGACGACGTTGTCAGTCCGGTTCATTTTCAACAATTTAGGCCGAACGTCACTGAATCAAATAGTATATTCATATCAACAAAACCATGACAAGCAGGGATGTGAGAAACATATTGGGCTCTAAAACATTAGCATGAAGTTATTTAGTCGGACCAGGTCTGAATTTATATGGCAACATGAACAAGTCTGGATCTGGAATCTGTTACCACTTAGGGAAAAGAAACGTTGGATTTTTTTTTTATTAATTTAAGAGCTAATGTAATCATGACATGGAGAAGCCGTCAGGGCAAAACCGGTCGTGACAGTCTGAATAATGAAAATAATAAAAACGGGAACTATGCGGCTCCAGGTGTCTAACTGAGGGACGACTGTGGTGTGATAGATGTCGGTTAGCTTGATGAATAAATCGAAGATTTGTGGTCAGCATTAATTCAGATATTCGTTATGTCACACATGTGTGTGTGAATTATATTTGTATATATATATATGTGTGTGTGTGTGTGTGTGTGTGTGTGTGTGTGTGTGTGTGTGTGTGTGTGTGTGTGTGTGTGTGTGTGTGTGATTTTCTTATCACTACAGTAGATATGGGTAATATGTTCCTGAAATAAAATCACCAGTGAGAACTTTAAAATAGGCCCAGGATGTGTGGCTCATTACCAAAGTTACGCGAAACTGTTTTGACCACAAACCGTTGGCTGTAAGATATTCCCAGTCTTTGTCTGAACTTCTCTTTTCCACGAATACATGACCAAGTCAACGTACTAGGTAACGCTGTTTGCCACTGACGTTTGTTTTTTTTACATCTTTTCTCATGCTGATCTACCTGCTCTGGTTATGGTTTGTACTTGTCAAAATGGGCCCTCTGTACACGAGATCATGCAGCCATAATCAATGTTTATACTTTAGGTAATGGCAACATTCTTACATGATCTGTCATTTTAACCCTACCTAGACGGGGGGGGGGCTAAAAGTGCCCGCGCCAACTTTGACGTTGGATAGCGTCCGAACGGCTAGAACCACCAAACTTGGTGTCTTTTCCTAAAATATTGTTGTATAAATGGAATAAGATAATGATTCTTGGTGTTGCCATGGCAACGGGTTTCTGACGGGCATTTTTTGCTAAATTTAGTAATTTCCGTTTCAACAATAGAATTTTATGGGTTTATGTCAAGTTACACATGGTTTCAAATATAAATACTATCTCGTAATTTCATGTTAATTTCATCATTAAAAATGGATAATTTATGCTAATTTGAAGATGTCATGGGCCAAAATCCAAGATGGCGGACCACGTCATTAGATTAGGTATAAACAGGTTATTTTCCTTAAATTTTCATCACTACTTCCATTTCTTTTTACAAAAAAGATTCATATGAAGCCCAAAGGTCTCCAAACTGAACCAAAATTTTCGAGAAAAAAAAAGACTTTTCAAAGATTTTCAAATTTCGACTTCCAAAAAATTGTCTTCACTCTATTTGCATATCAATAAATAGTTTGTGCTTATAAACCTGCATTTCCCCTCTGGTCTCTCAGTCACTGACGAAAGCTAGTGGATACTAGCTGAAATATCTGACGGTTCCAAAATCATATCCAGTTGCTTGAGTAACTGCTTTTTGACGGATTTTCAAAGATATTAACTAGGGACTACAATCGTTGTGGGTCCTCAGTAGTATATAGTCAGCAGCAGACGCCCCATTATTCAGGCGGTGCGAGGCGGTGCGGGTCAGAGGTCACCGTCATTATGCTAAGAATATGCAGATGTATGCAAATGTAGGCGAATGTATGCAAATTTTAGCTAATGAGCTAAATTGCAGGTCAGATAAAGGTCAGTGTGCACTTTTGACCCCGGTAACCTGGGAAACCTGTTGTCAAGGCAACGATTTTTGAAGGATGGTACCACGCCTACCGCCATTGTTACTTTGACAGTAAGCTATTCAACATGACAGCGGGACCGTCGGGATTACATCATGAAGTGGGTGCGTGGTTAAAGTCAACGTCTGTAGGAGATGATTGGCTGTATGGAAAAATAGGTGACTTGTTCTGAGAATCTGGAGTAGTCGATTGGTTTGCATGTACTTTGCATGTGAAGTAGGTGACGTACGTCACGGTGATTGGTGGAAGGTCTGTGTGTGTCGGTCAGAAACGTGTATAAAGGGGCAGTGGGAACTGGCGAGAAACCAGTCCCACTTGCGGAGACCAACCTTTCGTCCAAATCTGTCGTCAGCGAGAGAGAAGATCCAGACCCGAACCATGGCGTATCAGCAGAAGAAACAGCAGCAGAAGCGCAAGGTTTCCCTGAAGAAGGGTACCGGTGGCGGCAAGGCGAGGAGGAAGTTGGTGTTGGGGGAACCGCAGCCCTGTCCTGAAGTGACCGATCTCGACGACACGTTAGAGCTAGAGGAGCTGCTACAGCTGCTGAAGGACGGGGAGGACCAGCCACCAGCACAGCTGAGTACTCCGACCGACCCGCGCGACACCAACACCTTCGGCAAGAGCGGTAGTGTAGAGACTCTCCGACGGGTCCAGAACGTCGTCAACGCCCGGGCCTCCACGTCGTTCACTCCGGGTATCGTTGGTGGCGAAGAACCGCCTCCACGTCAGAACACCAACGACAGCGGCAGCGACCTCTTCACCGGTGGGTTTCACACGTCTTTGGGGGAGAACTCGACAGAGGTACGGCTGCCGCTACTCGACGTTTCGCGTGTCGCGAAACGTGTTCTTAACATCAGCGACTAGTCGCCGGCGATTTTTGAGGTCGCAGAGCTCGTTTCCAGCTCGCCCGTAGCTCGCCCCTGTGCGGCCGAGAGTCGACCGATATTCGGACGTACATCCCAGAGTCTCGGCCGTATTTCGTCTTTGAAAATCGGGCGACGGTCGCTGAATACGGTCGACCCTCGCGCGAGCTTCGCGAAATGTTCGGACGACCCTCTTCCGTACCTCGCCCGACTTGCGCAAAGTTTTTAAAATCGTGCGTGCTTCGAGCGACCTTCGTGCCAGTGTCGGACGAAGGTTCTACGAGCCTCGGCCGAGCTCCTGTGAAGTAATTATTTATTCAGCACCTGTGACATTTATTTCAGATTGCATTGACAGTATACTGTGCAAAGTTTACAGGAGCAACGTCCCATTGATTGTTAAAGTTATGTTTACGAGAAAGGATAAAAATAGGCAAAATCGTCCTTTTTGTCCTTTTGTTAAATCAACATTCGTTAATAAACAAAACCACTTTAAAAAAATGACGAGGT